AAAGTCAGATGGGAGAGTCCAAACTCTGTGACAGTGTGAGAAGCACAAGATCAGTCCTGCATCAACATCCCATTGGAGAAAACTAGTACTATTCCCTTCATGACTGATGTCCACTTCATTTTCCAAATGCCTCCATGCTCAGAAGACAGCAGGGATGTCCAGGCAATGGGGAGTGAGAAAGTCCCTCAGCCTACCCAGGTCCTGCAGACCTGAGCCCTGGGATTTTGACTAAAGACAACCAATTCTCTGTTTTTAGGGAAGAGAAGAAGAAAGGAAACTGTAAGAATCAGGTCTTCAGAGAAGGAAATGGATTAGCAAAAGAGGGTCAACTGGACCAGTTTGAGTCAGATGTGCACAGTTTTACAAGACGAGGGGACACAGCTGTGATACCATCGGGTTTAAAGAACCCTGACCCTGGGTGAGCCTGCCGCGTGGCTCCTGTTAGAACTCAAATCCTGTTACAATAGAGATTCCCATGGAGGTCTCTGTCGTAAGTCTAATTGGAAAACACTCCCAGTTCCCCTGAGATTCTTCGGGACTTTCATCCTGCTGACCACAGAAGGATTATGTGCCCCCAAAGTGACACTGTGGCTCCTGTCAAGGTGAAGATGTGTCCTCCTGTTACAAAAACAAAGAAACAAAAAAAGACAGGAAAGCTTTGCCTTTAGAGACATCAAATTTTAGTACAGAATTGTAAATCTGGGAAGTTCCCTGGGGAAAATTGATAACAAGCAGCCCCAGGCCATGGCAGGAAGCCAGCCCTTAGCAGCACCTGCACCTGCCCCGAGACAGCCCCGTGCACAGCGTCCGGGCGCCCCCTGGTGGCCCCGCGCGCCCCTGCAGGAGGTTTGTGTCCGGGCTCACACGGGCCTCCCCTCACTGTGTCTCGCACAGTAATACACGGCCGTGTCCTCGGCTCTCAGGCTGCTCATCTGCAGATACAGCGAGTTCTTGGCGTTGTCTCTGGAGATGGTGAATCGGCCCTTCACGGAGTCTGCGTAGTATGTGCTACCCCCATTATAACTAATGGATGAGACCCACTGCAGCCCCTTCCCTGGAGCCTGGCGGACCCAGCTCATGTCACTGTTACTGAAGGTGAATCCAGAGGCCGCACAGGAGAGTCTCAGGGACCCCCCAGGCTGGACCAAGCCTCCCCCAGACTCCACCAGCTGCACCTCACACTGGACACCTGCGGACAAAGAGACATCCTGGTCAGAAACTGCCACACAGATTCAGTTTCTCTCACTCATATTCACATAACATTCAACTCATATTCCATGAATCACCTTTTAAAACAGCAACAAGGAAAACCCAGCAAAGCCCAAACTCCATGGCGAGTCTCCTTTTTCAGTCCTGAAAACTCAGTGGAAACACCTGTGAAAACCGGGGCTGGGCTCCTCTCCCAGAGCTGCAGGGTCAGGGCTGGGCTGCTTTTCATAAGCAGAGGGAGGGCCCAATTTGCATGTCTCCTGCTATATAGCAAGCTCTGGGGTGGGACGCCTGAGGAGAGGGCAGGGCCCCGAGCAGGTGAGAGTGTCCTGAGGAAGTTTGGAGAGATTGATACAATTTTGGAAAATGTAGTTTCTGATTAAAGCTTTGTTCTGTGATACACTCTTTAAACCTATAACGGTATTTGTATTTTTAATTTAAGTATAGTTTTATTCAGGTGCAATGGACCTGTGAAAACTGCATACATTTAAACTCAGCACCAATCGTCTTATCGTGCTGTGTAGTATCAATGTTATTCCCATGTCACAGATGTAAAATTATCAGCAGAAGCACAGATGGTAGGTACAATGTTCCCAGAGCTCACAGCTGGTCAGCGTGAGCCCGGGTATCTGGGCCTGTGCTTCTCACCACTGGGCCTGCCTGCTCCCTTAGCCAAGCCCAGCACACGGTGGGTCACCCCTAGTGACATTTTCAGAACTTTCTTCCTGTAATGAAAGTGTGGTGTGATGTGTATGCGCTATCGTGTTTACATAATGAGTGTAAAGAGAAGCACGTTTTATGCAGTTGTACTTTCATACATGTCAGACTTTCATCATGTTAATGTCTATTTTTCCATCAAAGCATACTGAACAAATTATCCATTCATTTGTTTGTAACACTATTCTTGAGACATTATTGCTATACATTAAATATTGCATGAAGTGTGCTGTTCAATAAGTAGGCAAGCCGAGCTCAGTGGCACACACCTGTAGTTTCAGCTTCTTAGATGGCAGATGCAGGAGGATTTTTGGAGATCAGAAGTTGGAGGCTACATTGAACTATGATCCCACCACTGCAGTCCAGTGTGGGTCAAAGAGTAAGACCGCATGTCTAAAGACAAAAACAAACAAAAGGAAACGTAATTCCACCGGTTCTCACCTGTGCATCCACAAGAACCATCCAGATAATGAACAAACAAACCACACTTAAAAGTTTCCTTGTGCTCCTCTGCAATTCCTCCTTCCCAATTATTTTCTTCCCTCACCATATTCTGAATCAATATTTCATATTTACTACTTTAGTTTTGATTTTCAAAAATTTATTATACAGAAATTATATAGTGTGTGTTTTATCTGTGTGGCTTCTCACTCATCTTGTGATACAACCATGTTGACCATCAACAGTGTGTTGATTATATTGATGGATATTACTGCAGCAAATTAGCATGTCATTACTGTTTATCTGTATATCTTCTTCATATTTGTATGTTTTCCAGTTCCTGAGTATTACATGTAAATGTGCTACTCAGCTTGGAGATGTAGGCATCCTATACAAATATATTACTATTCTTACAACAACTACCAACTTTAGTGATCTGCAAATTAACCCATTTTCTTAAATACACCATATTTTTGATGTTATAGGACAAACAAGATATCTGAAATCTGAAGAGAGATGAGGACTTGGAGGGAAAAAAATCAGGAGCAGACTACAATTTTATCTGGGGCTGAGGCTGCCAAATGTCATTTAAGTTAATACAAGATTAAAGTATACATGTTCCGTGGGTGGTCTGAATTTGAATGTGATAGATAAATTATTGTTTAAATTCTCCGACTGTATACAGTTGAGGAATTCCTCCTGCTATTGAAGTCTTTTTCCTCACTGCTGGGGAAAGATCACAAAATGGGACAGTTCTGTCTGGGAAAACAAAATAGCAACTACAGCTGAAATGCATCCAGAAGCATTCTCTGTCACCACTACATTGCAAGAGAAATTATCAGAGGAGGTAAAGTCACCAAAACCACTGTTCTGGAGGCACTGGAGAGAGCAGTAAGAACTGGGAGGGGAGAGAGGAATGCACCAAGGCTGTTTCCAGACCCACCTCCCATCTTCCCTGAGGAATAACAGCTTTATTCTAAAGGAAAAGGTGGCAAAGAGGAAACTGCAGAAATCAGTGGGAAGACATAGTGGCTGCTGAAGGAACATCTGGGAAACAGTGAAGAGACACTTTTTCCAGGAATGGGAGTAAGACGCATGGATCAGCATGTCACCTGCAGAGGAAACAGGGACACCGGAAGGCCACACCCTGACTCAGGACTGTGATGCCTGCCGGGATTTGGCTTCCCCAGAAGGACAGAGAATGTCGCATTCAGTGCAACCCTCCCTTCCAGGCGGACAATTGCCAGGTCCATGTGGCTCTAGGATGACCTGCGTGAGCTGAAAGAGACAGAATCTCTCAGGTTAGCACAAGGATAAGGCCCAAAGCCAAGCAGGAAACAAAACCAAGGTGTCCCTGCGGGAATCTGAGTGTCTGATGGCTGCAGCAGAAATGCACTTTAATTCTGGCAGCCACTGCAAGAATGAGTTTCAAATCACTGAGACTCATTGATTAGATTCATGCAATTGTCCACAAGAAAGGCCTAGAAAAGGTAGAGTATAATCATCTACAAAAAATCAAAATGTCATAAAATAAAATAATTATCTGATGCAAGAATCCCAATAAAGATATTTGGGTTAAGAACAATTTTGTAGTAACCTGGATAAGTACTTGGAAACATTTATACCTCCTAACACCATCATGTTGGGCTTAGAATTGCAACAGAGGCATTGTGGGGGACATAAAAATTCAGTCTACAGCAGCACATTTTATCAATCAATAATTTTTATTTACTGTATTTTCTTAGAATAATTACCATTGATTTTTAATGGTTGAGATTTTCAGTTTTTTAACCAGATGTGATTGTTTCGATGGAAAGGTTCGGGGTCCTCATGCCACCACTTGGGTAATTAGATAACTCCATTCATATTTGTGTTTGAAGCTTCTCCACATTCTGAACGTTTTTCTCTTAAGCCGATTGCTGTGGTGGAATTAATTTGTCCTCCCTCTTTGATGTTATCATGTGCTTGTGAATACGGTTCTCCAGGTTTTAATGTAGTGAATCCACCTGTCCTTTAATTGGCTTTATTATGGTACCTTCCTGTATATTTTATAACTTTTAGGCAAATATTTTGTGTATTTTTTGATAGTTTCAGATTTTGAAGAGAGCTGCCTCTGGTAGGGTGTGTCCTCATGCCCACCTTGCCCTGTCTCCCACTCACTGACCTGCACTCTGTGAAGCCTGGGTCTCCCACTCACTGACCTGCACTCTGCGAAGCCTGGGTCTCCCTCTCACTGACCTGCACTCTGTGATGCCTGGGTCTCCCTCCTGCCATGTGCAGGGCTCTCTCTCGGAACAGTGTTCTGCCATCCACTGTCTATTCTCTGGTCTTCACATATCTGGGACTCTCTGGGTTTTCAGCTCCCTTTCTTCAACTACAAATCTACCTGGCTCTACTCCAACCCTGTGGCCTGGAGACTCCCTTAGGGAAGTGTCTGAGTGTGCATTCATCAAACGGCTGCTTTTGTTTATTTTCTTCCTCTCATTGGTCACTGCCTTTGTTGCCTGATGTCAAACAGCTTAAAATGTGTTTAAGAAATTTCACTGTGAAAGAAACAAACAAACCCATCCAAAAGTGGGCAAAGGATATAAACAGACACTTTTCAAAAGAAGACATGTATGAAGCCAACAAACATATGAAAAAATACTCAGTGTCACTGGTCATTAGAAAAATGCAAATGAAAACCACATTGAGATACCACCTCACACCAGTTAGAATGGCAATCCTTAAAAAATCTGGAGACCACAGATGCAGGATAGGATGTGGAGAAATAGGAACACTTTTACACAGTTGGCAGGAGTGTAAATGAGTTCAACCATTGTGGAAGACAGTGTGGTGATTCCTCAAGGATCTACAAATAGAAATTCCATTTGACCCAGAAATCCCATTACTGGGTATATACCCCAAAATTATAAATCATTCTATTATGAAGACACATGCACATGTATGTTTTTTGCAGCACTGTTTGCAATAGCAAAGACCTGGAACCAACCCAAATGCCCATCAACAATAGACTAGAAGATGAAAATGTGGCACATGTACACATTGGAACACTATGCAGCCATAAAAAATGATGAGTTCTTGTCCTTTATAGGACATGGATGAAACTGTCATTCTCAGCAAACTGACACAAGAACAGAAAATCAAACACCACATGTTCTCACTCATGGGGGTGTTGAACAATGCGAACATGTGGACACAGAGAGGGCAGCATCACACACTGGGGTCTGTTTTTGGGGGCTAAGGGAGGCATAGTGGGAGGGAGGGATAATGTAGGGAGAAATGTCAGGTATAGGTGATGCGGGGATGGAGGCAGCAAACCACCTTGCCATGAATGTACCTATGCAACAATCCTGCATGATCTGCACATGTACCCCAGAATCTAAAGTACAATTTTTAAAAAAGACATTTCACTGTGGTTTCCAGCTATTTCTGGTGGAAAGATACATCTGGTCTCAGTTGTTACACCTTGTATGAAAGTGATCACCTTCAACACAGTTATTCAAACTAATGTTATGATGTCCACTGAGGTTTATCTTGCAATATTTACATATAGATACCCAACAGACACTTTTGTAGAAATGATACAGCTTATATATATTATACATACATGATATATAGCATATACTATATAGATAGTATTTGGCAAAATGGCCACATGGTTAGGGTGACCCACGGAGGCTCTGCCCCACGTGGGTCCCTGCTTTGGCTGGTTAGGGTTAGCGTGTCCATCCTCAAAGGGTTAGGTGCTGTTGAAGTTTATGGCCTGCCACACCCTCTGCCTGTCTCTCAGTGTCCAGAATGCTGAAGCAGCTCCATAAAGGAGGGAAGATCTCAAATTTTCTTATGGAGGAGACAGAAATATATACATGATCTTTGGTAAAATTAGCTACAGACCAATATTCCTAATATTCATAAATATACCACCTGCCCAATAATAATCAACTATCTTCCACAAGACTTTAAAAGAATCACACACCATTACCAATTCAAATTTACTTTGAGATGCAGCAATAATTCAGTGTCCTCAAATCAATAAATTTGGTATGCCAAATTAAGAGAATAAAAGGAAAAATTCCATTAACTTCTCACCAGACGCAAAAAATTACATTTTAAAATGCAAAGTTTCATGATAAAAACTCTTTACGAAGTAGTTATACAAGAAAATAACCTGTAAATAATAAAAGTCATTATGAAAAACCATAGCTATTAACCTACTTACTAGTGAAAGATTAAAATATTTTTTTCCAATATTTGTAACAAGGCAACAATAAACTTGGAGACATCTTACTCCTAAATTTCAAAATTAATTACAAAATTGAGTAATAAAAACAAGATGTTATTGGCATAAATACATGTAGAGAGGTCAGAAAGAAGCTGATATATTAATGGCAAATTAATTTCCAAGGTGACAACCAAGAATATATAATGACTAAGTCATAGTCTCTCCCAAAGAGGGTATTAGAAAAGCTGGATTTACACATGGAGAGAATTAAGAATTTTGGGTTAGAATTAATACAAAAATCAATTCTAAATGAGTTAAAGTGTTGGCCTGCAATTGTAAAATTTTCTCTCCAGAAAAAAAAATAGAAATGATTTTCTACGTTTTACATTAAAAACACAGACAACAAAAGCAGAATTGAACAAGTGGGACAACCTCAGAATAGAAAGATCCTGCAAAGCAAGGAAAAAATTCCAACCTACAGAAGGGAGAATATAGTTGAAAGCCATGCATCTGAAAAAGTGTGAACATCCAAGCTATACATGTACATTTTAAAACCTTGCTACCAAAATGATCATAGCCTAATTGTAAGATGTTCAGTTTTACACCTTACAAAATTGTAAGAACATAGATCTCATGTTAAAGTTCCTTCTCCCTGGGCAGGTATACATTTTAGGGTATATTTGGCTAGGCTATACTTTGCAGTTAGTCAATCCAACACTAACCTAGATGGTGTTGCAAATATACTTTATAAATGTTACTAAAAGTGTCATCAGCTGACTCTAGGTTAGGAAGATTGTCATTGATAACCTGGGTGGGCCTGATTCCATCAGAGCAGAACTGGAGTAGGTGACATTCCATGGTGATTGTCACCGCAGCTCTCTCTGCGACATCCAGCCTGCACGTACTGATGACCTGTCTCATGGACATTGAACTTCCCTTGCCATCCCCTCAAACTGTCATCCTCTATGTCTCACAGAAAAGTGGCGTGTCCATCAGTAGTTTGTCAAACCTGAAAAACAGGCAGAAAAAAAGACAAAAAAATAATATTTATTTGAGGATGGCCATCACAATGGGAACATGCATTCAGGGAAATGAAGACCAGGGCTTTGAAAGAAAAATGAGGAGGGTTACATGAACAGTTTGAGACAATTATCCTGGGATAGAAGGATGAACAACAAGGGTGATGTCAGTGTAAGCTTGGACAGGCAGTTGCTGGGCAGATGTACCTGGAGAAGAAATTAATTTATATTTTTTGTGGCCTTTGTGCAAGGTTGTGGTTTTGCAGTCTATTTATGAAAGTTCTTGTTATCAGGGATGAGTGTGAGAACCCTCCCTCATGGCCTTCTCCAGCTTCATTCACTGGTGGCTCCATTTTGATTCTGACAACATTGACACCCACTTCATAACACTACTGCTGAAGAAGGTGACTCAATGACAGTTTGCCCAGCACAGGATCAATTCCACATCCACATCTCATGTTGACCAAGTAAGCTTATCCCCTGCAGTTCCCATGGGCTGTATACATTCCCAGATGAGTCTAAACACAACACAGTGGAAGCTCCTGAGCAATGGGAGTGATGAAAGTCTCATCAGTCTCTCCCATGTGGCTGCAGGAGCCATAGCCTGAGACCCACCTGTGCTCTAGGAAAAGAGCTTCAGCTGTGGAATTTAGATCACAGAAGCCACATTTAATTTTTCAGGGAGCACAGAAGGCCAATGAAAAAGGAAGAACAACAACTAAAAAGAAAAAGGAAAAACATAGATGGCAGGCAAAGGCATCATCAGATCAGTGCTGATTGCGATTGTCACACTGTAGTGTCAGGAGAAGGATCAGACGTGAAACCTGTGAGGTTCTACATGACACTGACCCTGGCCGGGGTTCTCTCTTTGCTCTAATCAGAATCCCTAAAGACTATTCTATTCAGGGAACCTTTCTGCAGTTCCCGTCCTGAGTCTGAATGGAGAAGTCTCACCAGGCACTCCTGAGCTTCCTCAGGACTCTGATCCTGGTGACCATGGTTGAGGACTTTTCATGTCTGTAAGCATCACTCTGCATTTTGTGGATGCGAGAAAAGATTTTCATATTAAAATAATAATTTTAAAAATACGTAGAGATGACACTGGTAATCACAGAATTCTGAACTTAGGGGTCACTAGAGAAACTATAAGAGGAAGATGAAGTCCCACATCCTGACAGGAAGTCAGTCTCCCTGTGCACATGCCTCTGGGTTTGAGCGCCCCCTGCAGCTGATTCCCCCCCAGCATTCTTGCAGGGAGGTTTGTGGCTGGGCTCACACTGACTTCCCCTCACTGTGTTTCTTTCGCACAGTAATAGACAGCCGTGTCTTCAGCTCTCAGACTGTTCATTTGAAGATACAAGAAGTTCTTGCCATTGTCTCTGGAGATGGTGAATCTGCCCTTCACGGAGTCTCCATAGTATGTGCTACCACCAGCACTAATAGCTGAGACCCACTCCAGACCCTTCCCTGGAGCCTGGCGAACCCAATCCATGTCATAGCTACTGAGGGTGAATCCAGAGGCTGCGCAGGAGAGTCTCAGGGACCCCCCATGCCGAACCAAGCCTCCCCCAGACTCTACCAGCTGCACCTCACACTGGACACCTGCAAACACAGAGACATCAAGGTCAGAAACTGTCACACATATCCGCTGTTTCTCTCACTCATGTCCACTCAGAATCAATATCTCTATTTTTCCATGAATCACCTTTTAAAATAGCAACAAGAAAAACCCAGGTCAGCCCAAACTCCATGGTGAGTCCTCTGTGTTCGGTGCTGATCACCGAATAGAAACACCTGGTAATCCCAAGGCTGGGGCTCCTCTTCCAGAGCTGCAGGGTCCAGGCTGGGCTGGTTTTCATCAGGAGAGGGAGGGCCCTATTTGCATGTCTGCTACTATATAGCAAGCTCTGGGGCTGGACGCCTGAGGAGAGGGCAGGGCCCAGAGCAGATGAGAGTGTCCTGGGGGATTTTGATGACAATGATTGTGTTTGGGAAAATGTGCTGTCTTATTGTGAAACCATTCTGTTATAAATATTTAACAACTACCGCATTTTTAATTATGTTTACCTATGTGTATAAATGGTGTTATTTAGAAGTCAGTGGTTTCTTCATTTACAGATGTAAAAGTGAACCCACACATGGAGGGGCTGTGTATGTGTCTAGGGGCTCATATCTGCCATGAGTGAGTCCCAGTATCCAGGACTATGCTCCTCACAGCTGGCCTCAATTGCTCTCTTAGCCAACACAGGACAGAGCAAAACAGGCCTAGCGTGGTTTGCAGAATCCACTTCTTGTCACAAGAACCTGTGTGATTTTGCTGCATTTCTCTAAAAATACTGAGACAACTAGGCTTCAGACAGATAAATTTTTAGGTATACGTGACATTTAACATGTTTATTCATTTCTTCCTATCATCCCTTTTTTGGTATAAAATTTCAGTTGGTGACTTGTAATAAATTTCATGAGCTTTGACAGATAATAAAATTTACATATTTAACTTGTACAATAGTAAACTTTGAAAAAAACCTGTTTTCAAGAAGGTGTTGAATCAATTCCCATCAGCATTCCTCTTGTTCTATTATATATATATTTTTTGTTTTTTCTCCATGTCTTCTACCATTATTTGTAAAATTACTGATATTTTCATATTTCTGTAGTTTTTATTTTCTAAAATTTATAAGAATGAAATAATATAGTATATACTATTATCTACTTGGATTATTTTTCTCAAGAGAAATGCTGAGAATTAAATCTTTTTGTTGTGTGTATTTAATGGGTAGCATTTCAGCAAACAAATGTAGTGTAATTTGATTTTTCTATTATGTTGCTAATTGATATTTGAAATTTGTATTACTTTGGGTCTTACTAATAAATCTGCTACTCATCTTGGTAATGTATATAGATGGTAAATTATATGTGAATTATAGAAATACATTTCTTTTTACAACAACAATAACAGATAAACAAGAGAATGTGCTGTTTGGCAAATTTTCCTTAATATTTTAGATATTTGAAGTTATGAGCTAGAAAACAAATCTGTAAATGAAAGAGTACCTGAGACTAATCTGAATAGATTTGGGACCTTCATTTTTCCAGGATTAAGGAAATGCAGTGACACAGCCTCAGGGAGTCCTGATGATGTGGCCCAAGGTGTCTGACAGGACTTGGTTTATACAATTTAGGGAGACATGAGACATTAATGCATGTATGTAAGATGTACATTGGTTTGGTTTAGAAGCAGAACAACTCGAAATGGGGAGATAATTTCCAGGTTATAGGAAGGTAGGAGACAAATGGTTCATTCTTTTGAGTTTCTGATTAGCCTTTAACTGAATGCACAATTTACAGAAATAGTCGCATAGGCCTTAGCCTGGCTTAGTCAAACAATACAGCAAAGGTAGCAATCAGATATGCATTTGACTTACATGAGCAGAGAAGTGACTCTGTCTGTCCCTGGTCATAAGGGTTTTCCTTGTGGTCAAATCTGAAGGAGATCTGCAGTTTTTAAAGATCTTAGCAGCTATCATTTTAGGGAAAGAATGAGAGGTGGATTTGCTCCAAACAGATTTTAGCTTGATTTTTCCCTTTGGCTTAGTGATTTTGGGGTCCCGAAGGTTTATTTTCCTTTCATGAACATGGAAATCTTGTGAAAATGAGTTCTTGTAGAGAGAAACAAAGACATGGCGGTAGCTAAACTGAGGCATATGAAATATCACCTGTTACAAGAAAAAGCTGCAAACATCTAATGGATTGCTTAAATTCCAAAGAGGTAAACGTGTTGTCATGTGAAATTCTCCATAACCACATACTGAAGGGCATGATAAAGTTAATTAACTATGGCCTGAGAAGAACTTCATGCTTCTACGTTTGAGTCCTTCTGGACAAACCGAATCCCTACTTGAATAGGGAGACAACATTGAAAACCTAACTTAGGAGTATGCACCTGTAACAATGGCTGAGTCCTGGCCAATTCCAGCAGACATACCTCAACCACGCATACACTCTTGAGTTTGCTAACTGTGTTTAAATAAGACAAATCACTTCTGATTTTTGTACATCATTAAAAAAAACCCATACATCTTCTTCCACCACATGGCTGCAATTAAGTCTTTTTTGAATCAGCTGTGATTCTGGGGGCTGTCCAATTCATGAATTATCAATAGCTCAATTAAACTGCTTTAAACATAATTTGGCTGATTGTTTTTCTTATCAGGATTCCTACCCAATTGAATCCCTTTGCTTTAGAATGGGGACAGTCAGAGAAATCTTGTGTGAGAAGCATATGGTGTCACTAAAGGGGAATTCTGAGCCAGGGCACAGCCACTTTGTACTGGGCTAGAGTCACTGTAGGAATACACTCTTACCAGCTCAGACAGAAACATTCCTGCAGGGTCGGGGCTGGGCTGCAGGGGGCGCTCAGGACACACCCAGTGCAGGCTCCCTCCCCAGAGCAGGTGCACAGGAGGCTGGGGAGGGGTTCCTCTCAGGGCCTGGGACTACATTAAAAAATCTAAAATAAGTATTTCACAAGGACTGCTGATGTGTGAATAAATATCTTATCCAATTGTGATCATTTATCAAGCTGGATGTTGTGATGAGAACCACTATTACCATGGGGATTTCAAACATTGCTATATATCTTAATAGTAAGCAGTGGGAAGTCAGGAAGAGATCCTTTCTTATAAATAAGTGCCATTTTGGGAAAAACACACACACTTCCAAAATAATGGGTTCACATATTAAGGTCTAGAAATGGTTCAAGTTGCCGCTGAGACATTCAAATGTGGGTTCAAAGTGTGGTGTGTGTCCTGGGGGAGCCTGTTACCCAGTGGGGGAACCTCTGTCAACTCGGAGTTCAGGGGTCTGTTGGGGACAGATGGCTTCTAACAGGATTACGGCTTGAACCCTCAGCTTCTACAATTGTGTCGTCCATGTGCCTGTCATCTATTTGCTCTTTCTCATACTAGGTCAGGAATTAGGCTATTAAATAGCATCCTTCATGCACATGCAAATAACTGAGGTGAATATGGAGATCTCTGTGCCTTGAGAGCATCACCCAACAACCACACCCTCCTCGGAGAAGCCCCTAGAGCACAGCTCCTCGCCATGGACTGGACCTGGAGGATCCTCTTCTTGGTAGCAGCGGCAACAGGTTAGGGGGTCCCCAGTCCCAGGACTGAGGGAGAAACCAGGCCAGTTAAGTGAGACTTCACCCACTCACAGGTGCAGCTGGTGCAATCTGGGGCTGGGGTGAAGCGGCCTGGGGCCTCAGTGAAGGTCTCCTGCAAGGCTTCTGGATACACCTTTTCCACCTAGGGTATGCATTGGGTGTGACAGGCCCCTGGATAGGTGCTTGAGTGGATGGGATGGATCAGCAGCAACACTGGGGAGCACTGTTGCTGGGTGTAAACCGAGTTTGAGGAGAAGTGCGTGTGTGCCAGGAACCCTGCACATGTAACGAGCAGGATCCATGGTGAACCTCTGTCTCAGAGCCTCTTCCCAGGTTTGAGTGTCCTGCTCAGGTGTCAGATGACACAAACCCATTCCTCCTCTGAAAGAGCATCCTTCTGCTGAGTGTCAATGCATCCATTCCCACCCCCGGGGCAGGAAGGCAGGTGACAGAAACAAGCAGGTTTGCGGGACAGAGAGGGAGGAAAAGGGATAGGAACCAAGGAAACACCTTGTTTCCAGGACGTATAGTCTAAAGTCCCACTGCACATTTTGGAGTCCCAGCTGAAGCTGGAGATTCTCCATTGTGAACTTTCCTTGCACAAGATGGTTCTTGGGGTGTGAGGATTGGGGGAAATGCTGAATGAGTTCTCCTCTTTGCTAAGCCCAGGGTTCTCACCCTCTGTGGAACGTGGTGTTTTCCCTGCCCGGTTGAGTCACCCCTGCTGATCCCCTACCTGCTGCTCCCCAGGTTTTGCTTCTTTGTTCATATTCTTATCCTTTTCTGGATTTCTCTTCATGGAGGTCCCTTGGTAGCCTTGAATGACAGCATAACCTAGGTCACCACATCTTAGCAGGTCTGAGGACTCTTTTTGTACCACTGTAAACACACACACACACACACACACACACACACACACACACCAGATCCCCACATCCCCTTTCAATTCCTTACAGGAAAACACACAACTGTCTTGGAGGAATTGTTTGCATGGGCTATGGGAGCGACAATGAGGCATCACTCTTCTCTGAGGATACAGGATCTCCATGTCCAAAGAGAAGAAAGGCTGCAGGTGCACAGGAGCCCAGTATTTCAGGATCTGGGACAGGAATCACAGAAGATCAAGTACAGCAGGACTGGCCAAGAGGAACAAAGCACTGATGGCAGATTTGAGTGAGGAGGACAAGGTGAGGCTTGATCTTATGTCTTTTCTCCTTCTTTCTGTTGATGTGATGTGTCACACTGATTGATTTGCATACGCTGGACCATCCTTGCTTCACTGGGATAAACTGTACTTGGTAACAATGAATGATTTTTAATGTGTTGTTGAATTGGGTTTGCTAAGATTTTCTTGTGGATTTTTGCATCTACATTCATCAAAGATATTGGCCTGTAGGTTTTTTTTTTACTTCCTTGTCTGGTTTTCATATCAGGGTAGTACTGGTCCCATACGGCAAGTTTGAAAGTATTCCCTCCCTCTCTATTTTTTTGAATATTTTGAGCAGTGTATGTATTGTTTCTTCTTTAAATGTTTGTGATAATTCAGCAGTAAAGCCATCGAATCTTGGGGTCTTTGACGGGAGAGCTTTAATTACAGCTTTAAATTTGTGACTTGTCTTTGTCTCTTCAGGGGTTGGTTTCCTGCTGGGAAACACCAGAGTCAAAGGTGATCTTGGGTCGAGGCTTTGTGCAGACAATATTGTGGCATCAGCCACTTCTATGCGTTTGATGGAATGGAAACAGAGGCTGAGTGTGGAAAAGGAATGACTACTGGCCCAAAAGAAGGGGACCCTCCAGAAGTGTCTCTGGTCTCAAGGTGGTATCAGGCTGCAGCAATTTGGCTAAAGGAATGGGTGGTGGGAAGGGAGTACAGAGTTTGCTCCTAATCTGGGGCAATACGGCTGCATGGATTCCTTCCAGCTCTCCAAATTGAGCTCAGGGTTTGCAAGCACTGAGGAATTATTTTGTAGAAAGGATTGATGATATGTGTGATTGCCATGGGCCTCCTGTGGTTGTTTTTATTTAACTTTACTCAACAGGGGTAATCTCATGTGATTCTGGGTCTGTGTGAGCCTTTCACTATGAAGCTGCAGAGACACGGTGCTTTCACACAGCCCTACTGGGCTTCTAATAACCACAGGGACCTCTCCTCTCCCCTGCTTCCCCCTAGGTCTCTCCTTTCAACTATACAGTCTAGTCTTAGCTGTTTATTCCATGCTGTGGTTCTGTCATATGGGATAGACAAATGTCAGGCATATCTATTCAGCTGCCATGCTGAGGCATGGACACTGGATATTACTAGCCATCTCCAAAAACTGTCATCCTCTATGTATCACCGAAATGTGGCGTGTCAATCTGTATCTTGTCAACCCCCAATAACAGACACAAAGAGACTCTAAAACATGACATTTACTCCAGGATGTGTATTGCAATTGAAATGTGTGTGGGTGCATTCAGGCTGGTAAAGGCAATTAAAGTATTAAGGAAAAATGGGGAGGGTTACAGCGGCTGTTTTGAGGCAATTATCCTGGGCAGGAAGGATCAGTCACAGGGTTGACATTGCTGTGAGTTTGAACAGGCAGTTGCTGGGCAGATACACTTGGAGAAGTAATTGTTTGAAGGCTGTGGTGGCCTCTGTGCAAGGTTGTGGCTGTGCAGAGTCTACTTTTGACAGTTCTTGCTCTCAGGACTATGTGTGTTAGACCCTCTGTCATGGCCTTCCACAGCTTCATTCATTAGGATTTTAACACAAGTGGCTCCATTTTGATTCTGATACATTTCACAAGCTCTTTCTAACACTACTTCTGAAATAGATGACTCTGACAGTTTGCATAGAACAGGGTTAATTCCACATCCACATCCCATTTTGTTCAAGTAAATTTATCCCTTCACTATTAATGGCCAATTGCTTTCCCAGATGAGTCTACACACCACACAGTGCAGGTTCCTGAGCAAATGGGGAGAGAATTAAGTCCCATCAGCCTCTCCCATGTGGCTGCAGGAGCCAAAACCTGAGCCCCACCTGTGCTCAAAGAAAATGCCTTGAGCCCTGGAATGTAGACCACAGAGACCATCTGTTTCTTCTTCAGGAAGCAGGAAAAGCAAATATAAAGGCAAAAAGAAACACTGCAAAGAAAGAAAATGAAATAGAATCAAAAGAAGCCCCAGATCACTGCTGATGCTGATTGGATTTAGTGTCAGGAGAAGAGTCAGACGTGAAACTTGTGAGGTTCTACATGACACTGACCCTGGCCCAGCCTCTCTGTTGGCTGTGATCTAACTGCTTAAGGACTGTTCTAGTACCAGAATCTCCCTGAGGTTTCTGTCCTGGGTCCAATTGGAGAAGACTCACCAGGCACCACTGAGTTTCCTCAGGACTCTGATGCTGGTGACCACGGTTGAGGACTTTTCATCTCTGTAAGCAACATCTGCATTTTCTGCATGTGAGAATAGGTCCTCATATTAAAATGATCTTTTTAAATTTATGTCTAGAGGGATAGCATTAAGAAAAATACCTAAGTTAGATGACAAGGTGACAGATGCAGCAAGCCACCATAGCATGTGTATACCTAAGTAACAAACCCACATGGTCTGCACATGTCCCCCAGTACTTAAAGTATAATTCAAAAAAAATAAAATATGAAGAGATGATAATAGTAAACACAGAATTCTAAACTTAGAAAGTTTCACTAGAGAAACTATCAGAAGAAGATAAAGACCCACATCCCAACAGGAAATCAGCCTCCATCTGCACCTGCCTCTGGGGTCGACTCTGACCAGTGGCTCCTGAGCGCCCCCTGCGGCTGATTTCGCTACAGTGTTCCTGCAGAAGATTTGAGTCTGGGCTCACACTGACTTTCCCTCACTGTGTCACTCTTACAGTAATACACGGCCATGTCCTCGGCTCTCAGGCTGTTCATTTGCAGAAACAGTGAGTTCTTGGCGTTATCTCTGGAGATGGTGAATCGGCCCTTCACGGAGTCTGCACAGTATGTGCTACCAGCAGTACCAATAGTTGAGACCCACTCCAGTCACTTCCCTGGAGCCTGACGAACCCAGTGCATGCTATAGCTACTGAAGTTGAATCCAGAAGCTGCGCAGGAGAGTCTCAGAGACCCCCCAGGCTGAACCAAGCCTCCCCCAGACTCCACCAGCCGCACCTCACACTGGACACCTGCAAACAAAAAGACACCCTTGTCAGAAACTGTTACACATATTTACTGTTTATCTCAGTAATGTCCATTCACTCTCATTTTGCTATTTCTCCATGAATTACCTTTCAAAACAACAACAGGTAAAACCAAGCTCAGCACAAGCTCCATGGTGAGTTCAGTCTCTGTGTTCAGTTGTGATCACCAAATGCAAACACCTGAAAATCCCAGGACTGGGCTCCTCTCCCAGAGCTTCAGGGTCAGGGCTGGGCTGGTTTTCATCAGCAGAGGAAGGGCTCTATTTGCATGTCTCCTGCTATATAGCAAGATCTGTGGTGAGAGGCGTGAGGAGAGAGTGGGGCTCAGAGCACAGGACAGTGTCCTGCGGGAGATTTGTGATATTGATGGCATTTGGAAATTGTGATTTCTTATTGTAAGTTTGTTCTATGATAAAACCTTAAAAACTATGAAAGTTATAATTTTGTAATTTCTGTTCTAAAACAGTTGTATTGTGGTACAATAGATCTGCATAAACTGTATATATTTAAGGTTAGCCCCAATCATCTTTTATTTTTACATATGTAGAGAAAACATGGTATGTGGTATTAATGTTATTTCCACGTTACAGGTGAAAAATCACCAGCAAAAGCACAGATGGGTTGTAATATAAATATACAGCTGAATTTCATTTGGCTTTGAAAAGAAGGAAATTCTGACATTTGCAACAACACTGATGCGCCTGGAGGACATGATTCTAACTGGAATAAGTCAGATGCACAAAGGCAAATGCTTCATGATCTCATTTACATGTGGGATCTAAAATGTCCATGCTCTTAAAGCAGAGAGTAGAATAGTGGGTAACAGCACCTGTGAAGAGAGGGAAAAGGGTGATGTTGGACAAACGGCACAGAATTTTAGTTGTGCAGGTTGAATGACCTCTGGAGATTTAATGTACAGCAATGTTCCTGTATTTAATACTGTATTGTAAACGTGATTTTTGCTAAAAAGGTAGATCTTAGGTGTCCTCATGTGACATATGCACATGCCGTACATTCAGAATAAATGGTAGCTCTGAGAGAAGATGGATATACAAATTACCTTGACCATGATGAGCCTTTCACAATGTGTATCTGATACGATTTGTATCTGTGTCCTGTCCCAAATCCTATGTTGCAACATAATCCTCAATTGTGAAGGTCGGACTTGGTGGGAGATGACTGGGCCATGGGGTGGTTATTTCATGGATGGTTTGGAACCAGATCCTGGTGTTGTTCTCATGACAGTTTGTGAGTTCTCACAAGATCTGATTGTCCAATAGTGTGTAGACACCTCCCCCTTTCCTGTGGCTCCTGCTCTGGCCATGTGATGTGCCTGCTCCCCTTTGTCTTCTGCTACAAATCCAACTTTCCTGAATCTCCCCAGAAGGACAAGCCACTACACTTCTACAGCCTGCAGAAATGGGAGCCAATTAAACATCTTTTTCTTCCCCTCAGATGACTCAGCCTCAGGCATTTCTTTATAGCAGTGTGAGAACTGACTAATACATCATCAAAATATCAAGTGGGGCACCTTAAACACATATATTATTAAAATATTTCAATTATACCTTAAAAACTAAAAAAATCAAACTTATTCTTAGAAAAAAGCAATACATACTTCATATTTTCTCAATAAAAATGAGACAACATAGAAAAACATACACTTAGACATTTCTAACAGCTTTGCTTATAATACTCATAAACTGGAAAGAAATTTAAAATCCATTAACAGGAAAATAAATCAAAATATTGTCATTTATTTAACTTAACGGACTGACTCAGATGTAAAATCTCTCTCCTTCCTTCTCTCTCCCTCTCTCTCCATATGTACATGAAAACATTGAAATTTCATATCAGAATCAGTCCATTAATTGAATAACAATATGTTGATCGAATTTTATATATGAATAACATGAATTAACCTAAAAAGTAGCAAAGTAGCCCCTTACCAAAATAGGTATATAACGTCTGATTACATTTATATAAAGTTCAAAACAGAACAAAACATAGGTCTATAGTATCAGAAATCAAAACATTTCCCCAGTGTAGGTGTTGACCACAGGCACAGAGAAAGACCCGTGCTGGGGAGATGGACTTGTTTCTCAGGCTACCTTAGGTTTTGGGAACAAGGATATTCATATTGGACAGAAACTCTCCAGTGGCACATTTCAAATCTATGCATTTTTTCTTACATGGAAATTTTATCTCATAAAAACAAAAAAATATAGAATAGTTAAAAATTCAGCAAATAGTAAAATTAATATTAAACACTATTCAAACTATGAACATCATTACATGAATTAATAAAATGCATTCAGGTATGCCTACTGAAATTAAATCCCAGAAATCAAAAAAATAATGGTAACATCTGAAACTTAATAAGCATACATTTCTCACAGAGAAGGAAAAAATTGTCAAGACATGTGGAACATGTATTTTTTTAATCAAATGTCACTATATTATTTATACAATATTTTAACCTATGTCATTAGTGTAAATTACTAATATTTTGTGTGATATTACAACCAAGAACAACTTTATAATAAAAAAGCATACTTGAGAGCACATGAACTAAATTGAAGGTATTTCCAATGTTGGTCCAACTTTTACACCTGTAATAATACCCTGGTTTTGACTGGGGCTTTAGAAAAAGTAATTCTTTTTTGTAAATTGAACAATTTATTAAGCACCTACTTTGTGCCAGGCATTGTGCTAGGCACCCTCACTGTGTGCTGTTCCGAGACCAGAATCACCTACTTAGAAATTAAAACCAAGACAAGAACCGTTGTTGCAGCCATAAAAATTGGGGTCCAGGAGTCCATATCGTGAATGCAGGTGATTCCCAGGCCAGAAAATGCACCCACCAGAAACCTGTTTTCCAACTCTCAGTAAGTCTCCACAAAACAGTTGTTTTAAAGCTTCTCAATGTTGACAGGGAGGAATATTGTTGTTTCTGTGCCCCAATGGGGCAGGTGCCTGGTGGACATTCAAATATTCTGAATGCTGTTTAATAAAAGGAGCCCGATGCCCTCCTCCAAAGAATATCAATATTTGGATTAATCAGAGCTACTGGGGAGGCTGAGGCAGGAGAACTGCCTGAACCCAGGAGTTAGAGATTGCAGTCAACCGAGACTGCACCATTGCACTCCAGCTTCTTTTCAGTTTGAATAGTTGCAACAGCCTTTATGAAAGATATAAACAACCCTGTCCTGACTGCCTAAATGTTTAACGTAGACCTAGTTCTGGATTCCTGAGTCAGAATCTTCCAGTTGTCCACACCCTCACAAAGCCAGAGAAGTGAGAGGAGATTTATCTTCTGGAAAGGAGTGAGAGGATGATGGCACAGCTGGTTTGGAAACATGACAAACGGCACCTGCACTTACAGAAGAACACACACAGGAGAACGTCCTAGTGCTGTCTGGTCCGCACACACGTGTGGGACTCACGGGCGGGCCCAGGCCTCGCCAGCCCTATTTATCTGCTGCGGATGGAGAGGCCTGGGCGGAAGTCGGGCAGGGCGTCCAACTTCCGGTGCAGCAGGTCCGGAAGCTGTTCGCCTCCACCTCCAGGTGGCGCTGTGGGCGTTTGCTCGCCTCAGTGTCTGTCTTTAGGGAGCGTCCTCTGTCTTCCGGGTTTTCATTCTCTCTCGGCCGCCTGGAACTTCTCAGACGCAGCCGCGCTCTGACAGGAGCTGAGGCGGGATTTCACTTTGTTTTCGGAGACCTTTCAGCTCCGTCCCCTGTTCTCGGAGCTCCGCCTCCAGCCCCTCCGTCCTCCTCTTGAGCTGCGTGTTCTCCTCCTCCTCCCTGTGGGTGTCCCGGCCTCTTCCCCGGCTCCGCGCTGGCCGCCGCCTCCCGCAGCGCCGTGGTCCGCGAGGCGTGGCTTTCCTCAGGGGCTGCGGCTGCAGCTCCCGCTTCTGCTCGGTGGCCGCGCTGTGCGTCACGGAGATCTCAGCGCGTCCTTCTCAGACTTCCGGTGCGTGTCGGCTGCAGCGGCGGAGAGGCCATTTCATCGCCGCCCTTGATACTGGATGCTTCTGATACAGAGCAGAAGATGGGGCTTCAAGCCCAGATCATTGGGAATCATGACTCCAGCTCTCGGTTTTCACCTGGGCCTTGTCTTTGGGCATCTCGGCAGCTTCTTTCAGCTCCTGGAATTTCTCTGCAAACCTTTCCAGCTGCTGCTCCAAGGAAAACCCCAAACCAAACACCGTGTCGGCTCTGCTGTCGGCCGCCTGCCCAGACTTCCGTGGTGTTTTGGGGAAGGTCGTATTTGGTGTGACTGTGCTGTTGATGGTCACCTTGGCTCCGTCCATGCTGACGATCCGATAGCGATTCCTTGTGACGTCATAGAAGGAGAAAATGGTGACATAAGAACATAAGAAATACATTTCCAGAGAAAATGGATGCCTGTCTCTAATTGGTGCATTTGAAGCTGCAAACTACAGTTCTTGACAGTAAGGCAAAGTTAGGGTACCATGAAAAACATACAGATCTACACCTTGTCAGGGAGGGGCTATAATGATCAATATCTTCAGATCATTTTGCCATAAAACATTTCAACATTTGATATATGTTCCTCTGTAAGAAAACAGTTAGTGTGAAAACACGTGTACTTATCTGAGTGAAGAGTTCACATGGAGACATGTTTGCTTGTCTGAGACAAGAGTCCACATGAGGAAATGTCTGTTTTCTGAGGAAAGAGTAAATATAAGAACATATTTGGTAGTCTAAGGAAAGAGTCCATGTTATTTTCAGTGCACTGGAGTGTAAAAGCTTCATGACACTTGGCAATAGAGCCACAAACTGAATGGTTCGCAGAAGTGTGTTCATCAGTGGAAGAAAGCTGCCTACCCCAAGGAATTCAGTCTCTTTAACTAAAGCACCTGAAACATGGTGTCCTGAGACCTTGTGAAAATTCATTTCCTGGAGTAAAGAAACTGGAAAGCTATTCTCAAATCACTGGAAGAAACGTTATCAGAAGTTTTATCAACACAGCAGTCAAATTCCAGTAAGTCAGTGCTTGCGTTTATGTTTCACAACTCAAATTTTAAAAAAAATTCAATAAATTTACATAATTGGAAGGATTCTCTAACAAAGGGAATTTTGACCTGTTCGATTAATAGACCAGTATTCACTCAAAGACATTCTGCTATGGGATCTCCAGCTTGAACAGATCGGTGTAACCTGAAAAAGTTTTC